AATGATACGTTCTCTTTTATCAACAGTTTATGTCAAAAATCCCCTTTTATCTTAATATTTACCTAAAAAAATCATAAAGTTTTGAAAAATGTGGGATATTATTCACTGCATCTAAGAAATCTCGAGTCAAAAATGTAACTGCAAGCATTAGATTTATTCAGTAATTAATATGTGCTAAGGGCTAAACTGTGACTTTCATTAATGGCATTGCGGGGGCATGGGACTGCACCTTGGGCAGCAAAAGGGCATGCTGAGCCCATTCTCTTTATCTTACAATATGGCCTGCAGATCCATCACATCGCAGTGAGCACTAAAGCCCTATTGTTGTTTTAAAGGCTAGGTAAAACAATAAGCCCCATGTTTTCAGAAAGTTATCACTTCTTAGAGGGGTATCCTTATTCTTGTCATGCTGAGGGCAAATGCATGGGATGCTGTATCATGTGAGTGAGTGACTTCTTCCTTGCTGCAACTCCGGCTTTCAACAATTACATACATTTTCTTGTGAAACAATATGATTAATTTTTTGGAAGCTGAGAATAGATTTGGATCCAACACTACGAATGAACTGGATTACTTGATGTTACTGAGATTAGCTTGGGTCCTATGAATAAAGTTTATTGAGAAATATTCCTGTACCCTCATCAAAATTGCAACATGTTATGTAGCTGGGTAATGACTATAAGATGTAATCATGTGAAAACAGGATTTAAGCCCTGCTTTGTCAGATCTTCACATATTGTAATAGTCCCACGTATATGACAAGCTAGAAGAATGTTATTACAAAATCAGGGACAAACAGCCTTATGGCTACATCCATAATAGTCTAGGTAGGTCCTACGGAAAGTTAGGGGGTGATCAGGAGCACCCGTATCTTAAATCTGATATTTAGGCATAAGTGCAAATTCAGTGATGCATAGGTTTTTTGCTGGGCTTCTGGACTTCTGGAAGGAAGGAAGTTTTCTTCCCAAAGGATTTTTCATGGTTTCATAGATAACAAAAACAAAAACCTGTTCCTCACTGCTGATTCATAGGTTTCAATGAGAAGGGCAGCATGGCTTATGAAAAATGACTTTAATTTCAAATATCCGTCAAGGCCATTCTTGCACTGCATGAGTTTGGAAATCAAGCTTCTAGTGTGTGATAGGCCCTAAACTGCTAACCTTTCTGCAGACAAAACTTTGGAACTCTCAGACTACTTTGCAATGATTTTTTGTTTTGTGAGAGAGCTACGTATAAATTAACTTATGAATCATCATATTATTCATAGTACCATAAATTATCTTAATTTACTTACTATCTACCACATACCCCTCAGATCACTAATGACTCATTTAGAAAGTTGTACATCAGGAGTGTTTTAAAAACATCCTGAGGGGAGGTTACTTGATAGCACTTGTAAAACATAAGAACACTAACCAGGTGTCATGCTGCTACATTCTTCTATCTGCAAAACCTGGCTTAGCACCATAATTTAAAGTTTTAAACAGTGAAAATTTGGTGCCGATTCAACCGAAAACCTCACTGAGTCTATCTTTTAGTAAGCTGGTTACACAGTGCACTTAAATTTGTGGACTAATGTAAGATTTATTATGAGGCATTTTGAACTGATAGATTAATCAAAAAACTTAACACCTTTCTGTGTGTGTATGTGTGTGTGTGTGTGTGTGTGTGTGTGTGTGTGTGTGAGA